TTAAAGGCTTTTAGAAATAATAACAAGCCTTCCTCTCAAAGCCTTTATAATTCTAATAATAATAATAATAATAATAATAACACTACTACAAATAATATGAATGATGATAATGATGATGATGATGATTCTACTTCTACTTTTTCTACTACAACTACAACAACTAATGAAGCAACAATAACAACATTTGAAAATTATGAACAAGTATTAAAAAAACGTAATGAAATTATGAATACATTAGAATTTTATAGAAGAATGAAAAAAGAAGGATCCATTATTAATTCTAATAAATTATATCAAGATGGTAAACAACAATCACCATTATTTGAAGTTTATAGAGAAGTTAAATTCTTTCTAAAAGCCAATGAAAAGGGAAGTAAAACACAATTACGTGTTGTTGAAACATTATTAGATAAATTAGTTGAAACTATAAAAGAAGTAGGAGATATTGAAACAGCTAGAACATTATTAAAATTATTAAAGAAACGTATTGATAATTGTAATGAAATGGGATTATCAAGTGAAAATATAGTTTTACAATTAAAATTAAAACCTAAAATTACAAAATTATTACAAATAATTATAAATACAGGTGATGTAACAGGTGCAATTAATTTTTTAAGAAATGCCAAGAATGAACATGGACAAACAGCACCATATATAGGAACATCAGCATTTACAGTAGTATTAAATGGATTAATTAAAGAAATTAAAGTATTTAATCCAACATGTGAACATAATTTAGTTGTAATGAAAAGAGCAATGGAATTATTTAATTGGATGGATGAATCTGATCAAGTTTTAGTTCCACCTGATGAATTTACATTTACTACTTTAATTAGAGGTTATGCTTTAATTAATGATATGAGTATGGCAATGGAATTATTTAATCAAATGTCAACTGAATATGGTATGAAACCACCTACTTTAACAAAAGATATTATTATTGAAGGTTTTATTAAGGAAGGTAATATTGAAAAGGCTTTTCAATTTTTTAAAGATTATTGTAATGAAGATTTTGATGGTTATTATAATTCTTTAATTACTGGTTTTACACATGAAGGTTTGTTTTATTTTTATTTTAATTTTAATATTTTATTAATTTTATTATTTATTATTTTAATTTTAATATTATTAATTTAATTTTATAATTTAATATTTTATAAAAAAATAGGAAATTTAACAAAGGCATTTGAATTAGTTGATGAAATGAAATTAAAAAATATATCCATTA